AAAGGCAACCATGAGGGGGATAGAGTACACCGGTGAACACATCGTTCATAACACCTACAGGTTATGAACCTGCTAGCGTTCCACAAGACTATCTAGAAGGAGTCTGTGGTCGTTATCCATACTCCGTTGAATAACTAGGTCAACAACAACAACATCGAGGCCTCTTATCTGTTTATTACACACCAACTATCTACCCATGTTCTACCCAACATATTAGTAGATAAAAATATATATTTTTATACATAGTTTAAAACCTGTATAGCATTTTCATTCAATATATATCCCACATAACAGAGGAGGCACACCCACATAACACGTATTTCGTAGAAAATAAATCGGATCTATGAGATAGAAGAGAGTGAATATACATTCACACATATAACAACAAAATTATACACATACCACGTATTTCGTATAAAATACTTCATAATTATGTGTTAAAAGAAAGTAACTACACACTCACTTGATCAGAAGATGATCGAACAGCACTACGGCTTGTAGAAGTAGTATTCTTCGGCAGATCTATAAGATCTTCACAAAAACCGGACTCCTCGCGAGCAGAGCTTCGGCTCGGGAATCTTACTTCTCGGGATCTTCGGGGCCTCAAAACTTGCTTCGGGGCTCGGGAATATTACCGGGGCTTCGCGGTACTTCTGGCACGCAAATCAAGGTAAAACGGGAGAGTGAAGAGAGAAAAAGAGCAAATGAGTCGGCTGCCCTCGCATCCTATTTATAGGAGGCTGGAGCCTCGCCGTACACTGGGTGTACGCCTGTACGCGGGGCGTATGCGTCCGAAAACGTCACGGTGTTCGTCATCCGAAGAACTCGAGTGCGAAGGTCGTCATGCTTCGCTGTACGCTGGGCGTACCTTGGATAAGCTCGGTGACTCCCTTTCGGATAAGGCCAAATTTTATAATTAAATTTAAATATTAATTATTTAATAAACTTTGAAAATTCATATCTTCTTCATACGAACTCCGTTTTCAACATTATTTATATCCACGCGTAGGTGAGACTACGCTCTACAATTTTCGTTTAGACTCCGTTGGCTAATTTTGAATTTATTTTTATTAATTATTTTTAATAGGCCGGGATAGAAAATTTCCGTTATAAATTCATAACTTCTTCATCCGACGTCTGTTCTCGCCTAAATTTTCATCACTTTGATACTAAAAACGAGATCTTCAATTCTCGTTTAGATTGTCTCGGCTAAAAACTGCTCGATCTCAAATCGAGTATTTCGAGTTGCATACCGCTAAGTGGAAACTTCAATAAATCATAACTTCCTCATACGAAGTCAGATTTTGGCGTTCTTTTTATGTATTCTCTCAATTCAACGAACTCTACGACTTTTGTTTAGATCACTAAGGCTAAATATCGCTCTAACTTAAATTTCACTTTTTATGTCATTCATCGTTGTCGGTTCTGTCGCGAAACTTCGACAGGTCATAACTTCTTCATTATAACTCGGATTTCGGCATTCTTTATATCTTCGGAAACCTTGTTTCAACTACTACAACATTATCCAAAGATATCAAGTTTATTTTACACTTAAATGTTAACGCTTATTTTTATTCTTAATTAATCGAACCAAATAATTAAGCAATTAAGCACAAAACACATAATACTCAAATTTTTATTATTTCAAAACGGGTTACAAAGGTTAACCTAGACTATTATATCAACATTAATGACAGGCCCAGAAACACAGGTGTTACAATTCTCTCCACCTTAGAATGATTCCGTCCCCGGAATCACACATCAACAAAAAAAATGCGGATACCGATCCATCATGTCACTCTCCGTCTCCCAGGTGAGATTCGGCTCATTCGTGTGTTTTCATCGGACAAGCACTAACTCGACCATCTTGCATCGCAACTTCTTAGTCTTTCGGTCAACAATTGTCTCTAGTTATTCAATCAACCTTTTGTTCTCATCGATTCTCAACTCCGAAAGTGGAATCATGTCGGGAACTTCCCCCGTGAACTTCCTCAAATAACACACATGAAAAGTGTTATGAATTCCATTCAGCTCTTCTGGTAGTTCGAGCTTGTACGCTTGGTTCCCAATCCTCTTATGAACTTTAAACGGTCCAATAAACCTTGGAATTTTCCCCTTTTACCAAATCTTATAAGTCCCTTCCACGGCGAGACCTTAAGCAAAACCGAATCCCCAACTTCAAAACTCATCGGTCTTCACTTTTTGTCAGCATAGCTCTTTTGATGATCCTAAGCTGCTAACATTCTTTCCCTAATTATTTTCAACTTTTCAGCAGTTTGATGAACCATCTCCGGTCCCATAAACTGCTTTTCCCCAGCCTCAAGCCAACAAGACGGCGTACAACACTTCTGTCCATACAAAGCTTGGTAAGGTGCCATCTTAATGCTCGAGTGGAAACTGTTATTGTAGGAAAATTCTATCGAAGGTAAATGTTCATCCGAGTTACCTAGGAATTCCAGAGTACATGCTCTCAGCATATCTTCAAGCGTTTGTACCGTTCGTTCGCTCTGACCATCAGTCTGCGAATGTTAAGCTGTACTTAAACACAACTTGGTACCCAATTCCTCTTGTATACTTTTCCAAAACCTCGAGGTGAAACGGCTATCACGATCCGAAAAAATCGTTAACGGAACACCGTGAAGCCTCACAATTTCCTTCACGTAAGAATTTGATAGCTTCTCCATAGACCATTTCTCCATGGCTGCTATGAAATGCGCACTCTTAGTGAATCGATCAAATACCAACCAAATCATGTCGTGACCATTCTTTGTTCTGGGTAGTTTAGTGACAAAATCCATTGCAATGTCTTCCCATTTTCCCATAGGCACAGGTAAAGGTTCTAAACTCCCATATGGTTTCTGATGTTGTGTCTTAACTCTCGTACAAGTCACACACTCGGCCACATACTTTGCAACATCAAGCTTCATCGTTGGCCACCAGTAGTAGGGTTTCAGGTCCCTATACATTTTAGTGCTACTGGGATGAATTGAGTACATGGTTTTTTGAGCTTCTTCCATAAGAAGATCTCTGAATCCTCTTGTCTTAGGTATCCAAATCCGATCTTGGAACACCTGCAGTCCATAACTGTTTACACCGAACACCAACGTTTTGCCCAAACGTTCCTCCTTTCGGTCATTCTTCTCAAAAGCTTCGCTTTGAGATTTCTTTATACTATCTAAAATAGTCGAGACAACTTCAATTCTCAACTCTCTTAGCCTTTTACTTTCATGATTGACTTTCCGACTGAGAGCATCAGCAACAACATTAGCCTTACCGGGGTGGTAGAGTATCTCACAGTCGTACTCTTTAAGTAATTCTAGCCAGAATCGTTGCCTCATATTCAATTCCTTCTGACCAAAGAGATATTGGAGACTCTTATGATCAGTAAAAAGTTTGCACTGCGTGCCATAAAGGTAATGCCTCCATATTTTCAGAGCGAAAACTACTGTTGCCAACTCCAAATCATGAGTCGGGTAGTTCTTTTCATGCTCTTTCAGCTGTCGAGATGCATATGCTATCACCTTTTCTCTTTGGGTCAAAACACAACCCAATCCAACCCCAGACGCATCACTATAAACAGCGAAGTCTTCAACTCCATCGGGTAGAGAAAGTATCGGTGCCTCGCATAGTTTCTTCTTTAGCTTCTCGAATGCTTCTTTATGCTTATCATTCCAAGCATAAGTAGCTCCTTTGTGGGTCAAAGCTGTCAACAGAGTAGCGATCGAAGAAAAGCCTTGGATAAACCTTCAGTAATATTCGGCTAATCCCAAAAAGCTTCGGATCTCCGTGGGACTTTTCGGTTGTTTCCACTTCATCACAGCTTAGATCTTCGCTGGATCAACCATTATCCCTTCCAAGAATTGGACTTCACGAATCCAAAAATCACATTTGGAGAACTTAGCATACAACTTCTCCTTCTTCAAGACTTCTAACACTTCTCGCAAGTGTTTGCCATGCTCCTCTTGGCTTTTCGAATAAATCAGAATGTCATCTATGAACACTATCACAGATTTATCAAGGAACGGATTACAAACTCTGTTCATTAAATCCATGAATGCTGCTAGAGCATTGGTTAGTCCAAACGACATAACCAAAAACTCGTAGTGTCCATATCGGGTTCTGAATGCAGTCTTCTCTATATCCTGCTCTCTTACTTTCAGCTGATGATATCCTGACCTTAGGTCGATCTTTGAGAAATAGCTCGAACCTTGTAGTTGATCGAATAGGTCATCAGTCCTCGGCAACGGATATCTATTCTTTATTGTTGCCTTATTCAGCTCTCGGTAATTGATGCACATCCTCATGCTTCCATCTTTCTTCTTCACGAATAACACCGGAGCTCCCTAGGGTGATGAACTAGGTCTAATGAAACCTTTGTCCAATAACTCCTGAAGTTGCATCATCAACTCCTTCATCTCCGTCGGTGCTAATCGATAAGGTGCTTTTGCAATTGGCGTTGTTCCGAGCAACAAGTCAATACGGAATTCCACTTGTCGATCAGGCGGTAATACAGGAAGATCTTTGGGAAATACTTCCGGATAATCACACACAACGAGAATATTCTGCATCACCTTCTTTCCCTTCTTAGCATCGATCATGAATGCTAAGTATGATGTACACCCCTTGGTCAAACATTTTCTGGTTTTCATTAGAGAAATGATTCCAGAATTTACTCTACGTTTATCTCCATACACCATAAACGATTCCCTCCCTGGCGGGTTTACCTTCACTATCTTCTTCTTGCACAAAATTTCGACATCATTGGCGCTCACTACAAGAAAAATAGCCTTTTACGACGTGCAAATTACGACACTCATTAATTTATGTTACGCAAACGAGAGTGACATTAAAAAAGTGTCATCTCTTTAGAAAATTTAAGGATTTAGGTCACGCATTATTACGTGCCTTTAAATTAGTGTCAAAAGAAAAAAAAAATAAAAAACACGGAGGGCGCTGTACCTTAAATGCGCGCCCTCTATATGTGTCGCTTTATAATTTTAATGAACGCGCGTTCCTTAGTTACAAGCGGGAAAATAAAAGCCAAAAAATTAGAAAAGCCCGCTACCCTCCCTGCCCTAAGCATTTTCACGCATCTTTCATTCTCCTCACACTGTTGTGCAACTTCTCAATCAAAGATTGAAGGTTACGATTTCATCTCCATCTCTCGACTTCATCATCTCAATCAAGAAAAAGGGCTTCTAAGACTCGCTCAATCACTAAAAGCCTGGGATTTGCTAGCTTCTCTCTCATCACCACAACACTTCTCCTTCTCGCCACCATTACCGCCGCCCAAACTCCAACTCCAACACCACCGTCACCGCCACCAGCGTCCGATTCCTGCAACGGCATCTACTTATCCTACACTTACACATCCGGGTCCAAGCTCCCACCAAACCGAACATCAAATCAACCCTACTGCTTCGAATCAACCCTCAGAGTCCTCAATAATGCCGACGAAGAGCTTAAATCATGGAGGGTGTTTGTAGGTTTTCATCATGATGAGTACTTGGTATCTGCTTCTAATGCTGTAATTGCTGATGGGTCTGCTACTTTTCCGGGTCTGGTTGGAAACGGCACCGTTTTTGCTGGATTTCCAAGTGCTGATCTCAAGACTGCTATTGAAACTGCTGGAGATGTGAATCAGATGTCGGTTGAGGTCGATTTTGTGGGTACGCAGTTCGGAGTCAACTCGCCCGCTGTTCCTATGCCTTCAAATATTTCTTTAGTGAATGATGGCTTTGTTTTCCCTAGACCTTCTATGCAAGGTAAATTTCTCTTTATTTATGCTTTATAACCTTACTATAGCTTACCATGGATGAAAAGGATTATGATCAAAGATTGCATTGTTTAATAATTTTTAAAAACTTTCCTTTGACTTCGATGTCTACTATTTGAGTAGATCAGTGGAGCGTTCTTATAGATCTGATCTTGGTTTATATGTGGTCGTATCACTGAATAAACTTACTAATCTGATCTTACTCGAAGTGGGTTATTTTGAATTTCTTGAAATTTGCCATGGTCGAACTTAGTGTGTGCTTGAAACTTACATTACTTTCTTGATTTCAATTGTTTGAACGTTTCTAATCAAGGGTTCTTTGTTACAATCTACTTGAATTTGTTTCTGTTTCTTTAAAAATTTTGAACTTTGTTACCTTCAAGCAATTAATCAGCAAATTCTTTGGTAGTTCCATCTTCCATGAATAGACAATTTTATAGATGTTTGACTTTCTTGAAATGGTTTCTTTTATTAATTGCTTAAAAACTTGCAGGATTGAACTTTTCATTGTGATGTAAGTTTACCTAATTTTAACATCTTTAAAATACTATCTTGTTTTTAATTGCTTGACCAATTCATTCAAGGGCTCTTCTTGATTCATTCTTACTTGAATCAAGTCCATAATTGAAAATCAACAAATTCTTTTATAATTGGTTCTATGACCAAAAAATTTTACTTGATTAATATATTTGACTAAATCTCGTTGAAAAACGAATGCCTGATTTCTAATTAGGATTTCGTATTTATGGAATCCAAGTTCTTGATTTCTGAATTTGATTTCCCTTGACCCTCCTTACAGATCCGTAGAAAATTCAGAAGAGCCGCCACATATCTCAAGCACACGGTACCATCATGAGTGACAATGGGAATGATCATTTTGGGGATGTTACAGATGTTTCTCCACTTGCTGGCATGGTAATAATATATATCCACTTGCCAATGATTCTACTTTTTTTTTCTGTGAACTCTATGAATTCATTTTTCTCCAATGTGTTTCTTAGGATGGTTTGTTGGGTGTCTCTTCTTATGATGCTGACAAGAACTGCACGTGCCTCTTCGTATCATCAAAAGCAACCCCTTATCAATCTATTCCAACAATGGTTGGCTCAATGATTTCCATTAGGTATTGAACAAAATTGCCTTGACCTAAAAGGATATATCTTTTAATAGCTAAACAGTGTTCTTTAAACTTATATTGGTTGACAATAATATCCATTAAATGTTTATCTGTTCTTTTTGATGATTCAGTGACTAAAGATTCAATTGCATTAGTTTCACCATATCCAAGACCCCCTCTCTTAGGATTTGTCCATGTGGAAGATTGCAGGATCCATAAACTCCAAATCACCACCCAGAAGAGGAATTTGACTCGTCACTTGGTATTCCATTTATTTGATGATTATTTTATTACTTCAGTTGCTAATGCTTCAAAATTATTAGTTTATGACCTTTTCTTATCCTTTTAAGTAATAAATCTTGTAATATATTATCTAAAATTTAGGAGTAAAAGTATAGGAAATCCCTAATGAATTTCTTTGATTTGTGTAGCTTACCTGGCCATGTGTATACGAATTTATCATCATATATTTCAATAACTATATAAAAAATTTGATGTCACAGGATCAAGAACAGGAAATTCTACCAAAATCAGTATGCCTTCTGCAACCAGTATGTACAAATTATGGTTTTATATCCTTGTAGAGTTGTAGGCACATGTTACTGATCAAATTTACACATTTAGTAAAGTTTGGATGTTATCTTTTTCAGGCTTTTAACAGCCCCGGCTACTCCTCTCTTCCCTTCACTGGAATCTGAATCACATAAAATATTCATGAATCAGAATGGAGATTCTAAAGATCATCATCCAAATGCACCAAAATTTAGAGTAAGAACCACTATTAATGAAGGTATTCTACTGGGCTAGGATGCTTGTTGTTTGGATATGGAGCCATGGAAGAACTTGGACCCTTCCGTGTTAACAGTGATGGAAAAACACTCTACCCCAACCACTATGCATGGAACAATGGTAAAAAAAATTCCTTTAATTATTATGTCCCATTCACATCACTTATAATCTTAGTCCTTGTCTTGCTGGTGCATGCCTAACCCTATAAAACCTTTGCTTTTGAGGTACTAACTGTTTTCTCCTGGAATTTTTTTTGCCTGAGATTTTTTGCTACCAGCTATCCCTTCAGGACCACTCTTATGTATTATGTCAAAAGCACCAATTCAGAAATTTGCTGATTATGTAAGTTAGCTTTCCTCTTCCTTTTTGCTTTTTATTATTTATGCACCCTTATGCCACAAATCTCTTTATTTATCATACTAAATATGCAACCATCCCTTATTTTACTCCTAACTTGTTGTATAATTCATTCATGTCAGCTGCATATATGTTGCATAAAATAAATTGGTAAAAGTAGACATGTGAATTATGGTTCGAGTGTTTATATTTAAAAGGATTAAATGCATATGCATATTTATGAAACAACATTCACCCTCTTCCCGATTCTGCAACAAATTTGTTTCTTTATTAGAAAATATGCACCGGTGTATTATTTATTGTAGGACCAAAACATACGATGTTTTACCAACAACCTGTTTAACCTGATGAAACATAGGTGTATAAGTTGCATAAATAGGTTAAATAGGGAAAGATGATTGCATAAATTGGTAAAAGATAATTCACTTATTATGCGTATTATGACTATATATATATATATATATATATATATATATATATATATATATATATATATATATATATATGTGTGTGTGTGTGTGTGTGTGTGCTTCAGGTTGCAAGCATTTTTGTCCCTATGGTGGTTGGTTTGTCATTAATGATGCTGCTAGTTTTTTCCAGCTTTTCCAGTTTTTTCCAGCTATTTAAATAGGTAGGCTTTTGTTGACTTTTCATGAATGTTGACTTCTTATATTTATCAAAGACCCTAACCCTATAGATTAATTTCTAGCACTATTGTTGACTTATAGATTTAAATCCCCTAAACTTACTTCTAACAGGTAGAGTCGTGTTAACTTCTTATAATTTTAACAACTACATTTGTGTTGACTTGTTTTATGTTAAAATTTTAGACGATAGATTTGTGCTGACTTTTTTTTTATTTAGATTTTGAAGTTTCTAACTCCCCTCACCCTCTGTATTATATATTGATCATGTGATAATACATAAAGGCCCTGCATATTGGCTTAGCTTGTAATAATATTATTAGATATTCTATCATTCATTGTATGGAGCTGATAAAAATTATTTTACAACATTTAAAGTGTTTTTATATGGTTCAACTCAAGTGTATATATTGCGGCAAAATGTTGAAGGTCGGTGGAATTCACAGGATTAAAGAACACCTCGCAGGCTAAAAAGGTAACGCATCCAGTTGTTTAAGAGTACAGCCTGATGTTCGTCTGTTGATGCAAGAGAGCTTAAATGGTGTCGTAGTGAAGAAGAGAAAGAAACAAAAATTGGCTGAAGAAATCACTAATTTCAATTATGGGGAGACTGATTCTTTTGGTAATCAATCTGCTTTGAACGCTGAAGCTGTAATGCTTCCTGTTGCAGAAACTATTGAGCACAATCCTAGTTTATTAGTAACTCAAGAAGAAGAAGGTACTGTAAGTAGTAAGAGAGGTGGAGGTAGAATAAAAAAAAGGATGTAGAGTGAGAAAAGGTTCGAATGCTATTGCTCTTATTGATACCGTGTATGATGATTCAAAAAGGTTAACCATCAAGTTAGTTTAGCAATTGGGAGGTTTTTATTTGACGTTGGTGTACCTTTAGATGCTGTGAACTCTATATATTTCCAGCCCATGATTTATGCAATTGCTTCGCAAGGATCAAGATTTGTGGGGCCTTCATATCATGATCTTCGTAGCTGGATTTTAAAGAATACAGTTCAAGAAGTTAGAACAGAAGTTGATCAATGCATGGGGACTTGGGGCAAGAGTGGTTGTTCTGTTTTAGTCGATGAATTGACTTCAGAAAATGGTAAAATGTTTCTGAATTTCTCAGTTTATTGTCCCGAAGGGCTAATGTTTTTGGGGTCTGTTGATGTGATCAACATTATAGGCTCCATAGACGCTTTATATGGTTTATTTAAAGAAATCATTGAAGAAGTTGGAGTAAGAAATTTTCTCCAGATTGTTACAAACAATGAAGAACGTTATATTGAAGTAGGGAAACGAATCACCAATAATTTCCCCACCATTTTCTGGACTCCATGTGCGACTCATTGTGTGGATTTGATGTTAGATGATTTCAGAGAACTTAAATGGATAAGTACGATTCTTGAACAAGGTAGATCAATATCAAGATTCATAAACAATCATAGCTTTGTATTGAATATGATGAGAAGGTACACTTTTGGACTGGACATCGTTGTAGTGGGTCCCACACGTGCATCCACAGATTTCTCCACATTGAAAAGAATGGTAAGTGTGAAGCACAACCTCCAATCCATGGTAACCTCAGAGGAATGGATGGATTGTTCATGTTCCAAGAAAGAAGAGGGGTACACTACATTGGATTATATAAGCAACCCATCTTTTTGGTCAATGTGTACAGTGATCACTCATTTAACAGATCCTTTGTTGAGGCTTTTGAGAATTGTTAGTGGGAAAAAGAGACCAGGAATGGGGTATGTTTACGCAGGGGTATATCGAGCAAAAGAAGCAATTAAAAAAGAACTTATTGATATGAAAGATTTAATTGTAGAAATTTATGTGAGTTTATTTATTTATTTATCAGGTGTAGAGGCATGGTCATTTGATCAACATTTAGGAGTTGCTCTATTTATCCCAGCTGGTTGTCCTTTTCAAATGAGGAATCTTCAGGTGAGTTGAGAGTCCTTTTCTCAGACAAATACTAAAATATAAAAACTGTTTTTTTAACAAATAAAATTATAAAAATTGATAATTGAGTCGTGTTGGCTTTTTGCAGTTAACGGTTGAGTTAGGGCTTGATTTCTTCTTCCCTGAAAGTCTAGCAGAAGCTGTATGATTAGGTGCAGAGATTCGTGAACTTGCTAATTACCATGATGCAAAGCTTCAAATTTTAGAGGGCAAACATCTTTTTTCGCATTATACCCTTGTGATTTCACAATTTACCTTTTTTTAATTGTAATTTTGAATGATTATAGGTTGGAAAGATTTCACTTTATGCAGCAAGTTCATCAATCAAGGAAGTTCAAAAACTGGTGTTGGATCCAAAGTAAGACACTCATATGAGAATCTCTTTTATTTATTTATTTATTTTAATTGATGTTTCTACTTTTTTATCTTTCTTTTTTCTTTTTCATTCTTTACAGCAAAATTCCATATTATCTAATAATCAGAAAATCAGGGCTTTATTAGTTTTACAGTTTACTTTAGTATTTGCATTCTTATTATATTATACCCCTCACATTTTCCCAAATTACCCCTTCCTCTACAATGTTTTTTTTGTTTCTGTGTATTTTGTGCATCAGGTAAAGTTGATGGAAGAAAGGAATATGAAGCCACCTCATTTAAATCTTGCAGCATTATCAGCAAGATGCAGTAAAGACTTGGA